TGTACTATATCAGTGAGCTGGTGAATGAGTAATGTTTTACGCCGCTTAGCAATAGGGGCGAGACAACAAATGAGCTTCACACATTGTACCCATGTGGGGGATCGAATCCGGGTCTTCGGCGTGACGAGCGAACGCTTTAACAACTAGGCTACCCCACCACCCCTGCAACAATATCATTATGATTATCTAGAAGCTTTTCGTGCAATATAGGTAACCCAGCTTAAGAAAAAGCTTCTGTAAGATTTTTCATGTACAAATTGAGGGACAAGCGCATGCCTCTGTGTCATCTCACAATACATCAAGACAGACTGTGACTGGATGTCCAGTCTGCACCTGTGTTGGAAGGTTGGCTACGGTCGTTGCTGGTTGAATGTTTTCATCACCGACTAAGTTGGGTTTACTACTTGTACCATTTTATACTGCCACTGGTACTCTATTTTCTACCCCATTGTATTTCATTTGCAATAGTTTGTATTGATTAGTAAACTCAATTTATTTTTCATTATTTTTGATAATTACATAGCATATGTTTCTTGTTTTGGACACTGAATTCTACTACATGCTGTTTTTACGTATTACTTATTGTTTTGATTTCGAAATCGCCATTTATAATATCTCACAAATTCTCTAAAAAGGGATGACACTGTCAGGTATTTGCTTTTATTTCATTGTTCGTGTTAGGGTAGCACAGTGGTTAAAGCAGTTGCTCGTCAACTCCCACCGTCCCTCCACCTGATGTGGTCACAAAAGAGTAGTGGTTAACCTTTATTTGACTGCTGTAAATTCAAAATTAAAAGGTTTCACTTGAAGCATTATGACGCGCGCTTGGCCCTGAGCAATGATATGTTCACACAAACGGACATTTCCCACCCAGACGTTTATACTGATGCCTCGATGGACGTTTCTGAGTGAGGACGGCCACAAAGCCTTATGCTGCATCACCTTACATGGCAGGAACTGTACATTTTGTTCAATTCAAATCCTGAAAAAAATATCCTCTGCCAAAGAAAGACACTAATTTCTTTTGAAAATTTCATGCAGAATATCAGAGTGACATGAAAATAACTAATGATGATATCAGAGGAGATAGTTTGTATCTTCTTTTCTTTAGAATTTCATGATAAATGCCAAAAACAGGTGAATGCATTAGACCGAGTGAGATCATGGTTATAAGCAGTTTTTACGATATTCCATAAATCCCAGAACATGAGGCTCAAACGCTGCTTCACACGTTTTATATACATATAGCCTGTGTGTGTGTGTGTGTGTGTGTGTGTGTGTGTGTGTGTGTGATATCTATTTGGTGAATACAATATTAAGAGTGAAATTCTTTAAAAACTAGTATTGTCATGTATAGTTAAAATATTTTAGATTCAATTACTAGTATTTTATATATATATACATCTGTGATAATCTAGCTGTTTTACTGTCCTTCGTTGACAGAATTGTATAATTTACCTTTCACTGTTAATATATTTATAACTTGATTTAGTCACGATATGGCTGAAATATTGCCGATGTGACATAAAATCTTAACTCACTCACTCACTCACTTTAAAAACTAGGTGACCTCGCCTGTGGTAAAACGCAATACTATCATAACGATGTCACGACTTATGTTGCAATGTCGCTCGTTTCCTGCCATCACGGTGCTACGTGTGTTGTGCCCTTAAACCTACAATGGTCTTAAGTGCACACAAATTATAAATAAACATGAGTGGGTGGAGCTTATGTCACCACGTTAAACGTGTTTCCTACCCACTACTTCTCATGTAAATACGGAAATGTCGCTACTTCTGTTGAATAGTGTAAGGTGTAATATCGTGCAATGAGGATGCATTTTGCTCTACAACATAGCCTAAACAGCCTTTCCTTCTTTACAATATAGTTATTAATGAAAATATATACATATCCAGTTTCGGGAATGGTGTATCAAAACAATTGTCAGTACAGTAGCAACTAGTATCAGTAGTCTGAAGAAGCACCTTTCCAAAACACACGTTACACCCCCATCTTAACAAACATATCATATGGAAATATAAGGAAATATTACAGTCACCATACTACGTCTGCCACTACTACTAATATTACTACTTGAGCCACTACTACTACAACGATTAGCGACTATGCTTGTCGTAAGAGGCGACTAACGGGATCGGGTGGTCAGGCTTGCTGACTTGGTTGACACATGTCATCGGTTCCCAATTGTGCAGATCGATGCTCATGCTGTTGATCACTGGATTGTCTGGTCCAGACTCGATTATTTACAGACCGCTGCCGTATAGCTGGGATATTGCTGAGTGCGGCGTAAAACTAAACTCACTCACTCACACTACAACGATTACTACTTCTGCCACCACTACTACTACGATTACTACTATACTGCCACTATTACTACTACTGCTGTTGCTACTGCCACTACTACTGCTACATGATTTCTGTGCATTTAACACCATTGTAGGTTTTAGGGCACAACAGGTGTTGCTACTGCTACTACTACCCTTTACATTATATTGAAATATATCAGAGCTCCAGATAATATTTAGCTAATGTGGGTACTGTACTGTACCCACTGTATTTTTTTGGCGTGGGTATTATGAATGTTGAGTGGGTATTTCATTTTCCGTTACCCACTGCTTTCAAATATGTGCGTATTTCAGTCATTTTACACACCTAAGTATTGTGTCATTATGCAAGTTTACTAAGCAGGTATGTTCTGCCTTATGTCATACCAAATCAAAACCAACTTAAATATAAGGAAAATGATTTCATAAAAAATCATTCATCCTATACAGACAGTACAACACTTGTCCTATACTAACAGTGCAACTTGATAGCAATCGATGTCTTTTTCAAGCGATTGTTTATTAATATACATGTATTCCGTACGCATTTGTTTTAAACTCTTTGCGTATCTAACAGTTTAAATGCGTAATTGGTACGCAATAATTATTTTTCAATGCGTAATTGGAAATTTTCTATGCGTATTTTGCCCGTATACGCAGCTTATCTGGGCCTCTGTTATATCATATAAGTTGTATATCATTGTATCAAAGATATTCACAGGGGAATGGAATGTTATGTGCTACCCACATTCCACATTACTCGTGAATCTATCTAGCCATAAATATACTTGACTTCAATCAATCACTGATTTCATTAAATCCATAAATATATAGAATAAATGCAATATAATACATCTTCTTCACACACCACACAGCCTGTTTTGTTTCCACCATGCAGACAGGATGGGTGTGTACCTGTACAATATTTGAGAGAGTCTGAATTCTTCTCTTTAACCGGTGGAGGTATCAGGTCATCTGCAGGTATCCCTTGTTTTTGTGTTTTGTACTAATGCTTAGGTTATGCAATGCAGTCTTGATAAATAAACTCAAAGCATAGGTGTGCTGATACAGTATGCACGACAAGCATTGTGTACTGTAAAAAGGTAGAATATACAAATGTGAACATGGGGATACACTTGCACATAGCAATATTAGTGCAAAGGTGTAACTGCAATACATAGGCTTACTATCATCAAAGTGCTAATATCGCTATGCGTAAGTTTACCCAGAAGTTAAAGTACAATGTATGAGAGGTAGCTGGTTATGATACCTCTGTCGGTATCATGCCAGGTACATTACAATCAAGGGCATCAACTGTGCACAGTTCATGTTGACAGGGAGTCAAACCCATATTTCTTGCATCACAAGCTAATGCTTGTACTAGTCAACTAACCAGTGTCCTTCATTTATCTGTATAATTACACCAGTGTGTGTGTGTGTGTGTGTGTGTGCAAATCTTACAAATCTGTATGTTTATTTGCATAATATAAGAAGAAGTATATTTCACATTGGCTGTTACTTTGTGAAATATAAGGTGCCTTTTTGGACACTGGTGCCAATTTCATGAAGCCCCAAGCCCCCACATATTTGAAAGAACAAATCATAATTATGTTTTCTTACACTAAGTCCAAATCGTTTGCAAGGAAATCATGTAAACTAAAAATGACCAAAATCTGTAAATAGCAAAAGGCAGCACTGCAAGATCTGACTCGCATATCTGCCAAGTTCTGTTGAAAGATATTAAACGGTTTTTGAGTTGTGCTCTGGAAACGAAGCCCACCCCTCCCTTTATTAGATTAAGCCTAAATCGTTTCCATGGAAACACAAAAAATAAAAATCACAAAAATCAGAAAATAGCAAAAGGCACCACTTTGTGGATCTACCTCACATATCTGCCAAGTTTTGCTAAAGAATATTAAGAAGTTTTCGAGCTGTGCTCCGTAAACGAAGCCCACCCCTCCCTTTTCACATTAAGTCCGAAGCGTTTTCATGGAAACCGAGACAAATAAATCACAAAATTCTGTAAATAGCAAAAGGCACCACTCTAGGTTCTGTTTGATATATCTAACAAGTTTTGCAGAAAAGTATGAAATAGTTTTTGAGTTATGCTCCGCAAAAAGAAATGATTACGAACGTTGTGCTTCAGAAACAACACCTACCGCTATTTCAGCTAAGTGTACCTACCCCTGTTTCAGCTAAGTGTAACTTGTTTCCATTACAACAGGGAAAAATCACATTTTTTAAAATTGCCAAAGAGCTAAGACACCACCAAGTCTTTGGTACATAAATGTAACATGTCTGTATGAGAAATCGCTAAGGGTTTTCAAGTTGAGCTTAATAAACAAAATCCATGCCTCATGTCCAAATCATTTCCATTAAAAAATCAAGAAAAATAAAAATGACAAAAACAGCTGAGTAACAAAACACTTCAGCTTCCGTTTCATATGTCTCTAAAATGTTATATTTAGTTTTGTACTTTCTTAGTAAACTACATATTCTAGTACTTTTGTTGGGTTGAATCCCCTTGAGGATTCAAACCCACACCCTCAATCCAACAAAAGTACTAGAATCTGTTCTTTAGTAACAAAGTGTAATCCCAAACAGAACATGTTACATTTGACCACTTAGCAAATGGCATTGTGTAATCATTGGTATCTTTGACAACATTTTTTTTTTAAATATTGAATTTGTTTTGTTTAATTTTGCCCTGCAAAGATGATGATAGATGATGCATTGACGTAGGGATTGACACTTAAAGACACATACGAGGCGTTCACCATATCCCCACATTTTATAGTCCATGAAGATATTGTCATTCGTCATCAACAGTGATGTGCACTCCTCTCCCGGGAACTTGGCTGGCATCAAATTCTGTCGACATGCATTCCAGGTTCACTTCTTCATACGTCTTGTTCATCACATTCATCAGAATGAATACGATAGCTTCTTTTACCCCTACATACATTAAGTAATCTGTGGCAGCTCTGAAGTAAAAAATAAAAGTGTTACATGATTCTTTTAATAAAACAAGTCACACAGCATCATGAATCACTTATGTATATCATCAATGTAAGAAATGTCAACAGATCGAGTTGCCTAACATCACTTGCTAATTCTAATTCTATGAAATAATCATTACTTTACACTGGTGTGCATCAGATTGGTGGCATAGTCATGGTGATAACTTTTTGGCATTGTTCACATTTTTCTGCATTCCTCTCACATCACAAATACATTTATAGAAATGTCAACTTCATTTGTGTCTCTGTTAGAATCAGGGAAATGGCACAGTTACCATCCTATAGAAGCAATTTAGTTTTCAAAGCATATACAAAGTGAAGTGTTTTCACACTAGGTGGGCAGTGCTTTTATTATTGCTCATTTCTGTGTATGTATAAAACTATTTTATGACATCAGTTTGTGGAAAATCGCAATCAACCAGCTAGGCAAAAATTTCAATGTCTCATACTTGGTTATAGTATTTCATCCCCAAGCTCTTAATATAAAATAACAGTTTTCACAAATCTCCAAATGTATATAAATCAGTATGGTTCTTCATAAGTGAATGAAGTATGCAATCTCTATAAATGGTAATTGTTGTTTCATGCATACCCAGCATAAGGTATTTATCTCCTTTCTTTGAGAGGCATTTTAGAAGTTGTAAAGATGAAGGAAAACCAAATTACATGTACACCTGGAACTTAATTAAGCACCCCCCCTATTTTCTGGATGATGAGAAACAAAACTTGCTGTAACTCTCTCACTATTCCAAAGATAGTGGAACCTTAGCTATTGTGAAACATACGATCTATTGGCAAATGAAAAACAAGACAATGATTCCAATACGTGTTGTTTTAATAGCGTAACCAATGTGATTTGGTCACTATTGATTTTCGATGAAAATAGTCACTGAACAAGTATGGTCGTAGCATTGTCAATGGCTGACTATTACAAGAAATGATGCACAGGAAATGTCACATGTGAACATCTGATTGGTATGGCATCAGTATCGGGTGTATCCCCCACGTGCTTGGATGACAGCTTGAATCCTCATCATCATGCTACTGGTAAACCTTCTGATACGATCAAGTGGCAATTGCCGCCATTCTTCATGCAAAGCAGCTTCCAGCTGTGCAAGATGCTGGAGAGGGGGTTCTCTCAACCTCACACGTCGTCCAAGAAAGTCCCAGATGTGCCCCAAAGGATTCAAATCGGGGCTCATTGCTGGCCAAGGTAATGTCATGATAGCCTCATTCTGGAGATGTGCGGTCACAGCACGTGAACGATGCGGCCTGGCGTTGTCGTCCATGAAAATCGGGTGAGTAGCCAACGGGTGGCTGACAAAGTGAGGCACGACAACTGGATGGAGAATATCCCGGATGTACTGCTGACCATCAAGATTTCCTCGGACAGTCACCATTTGAAGTTTACAGTGGTGTGAAAGACAACCCCAGATCATAACCGATCCTCCACCATAAGGAACAGTAGGGTGGATATTCCTGTGCACGTAATCAGTGTTTTTATGCCTCCACACTCTCATTCGACCATCTGTAACGTGGAGGAGGAACCTGCTCTCATCTGACCAGTGGACCCTCCTCCATGTCCTCAGGTTCCACTGGCGACGGGCCATACACCACTCTAGACGTCGTCTCTTATGGATATCAGACAGAGCAGCAGGACGTTTGATGACTCTTCTGGACCTCATACCAATTGCCCTAAGGCGATTTCAAACGGTTCTGGTGGATAATTGTCTGTAGGGTAACCACAGGCGCTTCAAAACCGAACTTGTGGCAAAGGGTTCTCGCCGTACCAGACGTGCCAGGCTGCGATCATCACGGGCCGTTGTCTTCCTGGGTTGTCCAGGCCTTGGACGATCTCTCACATCTGTCATCTGATGTTTTCAGACAAGTCGGCTGATGACCGAGTGACTGTAGCCCAGTTGTCGTCCAATAACTTTGAAGGACATGCCTGTTGCATTCATGCTGACAATTTGCCACCTTAGTGCTTCAGAAAGTCTTATCCTCGCCATTTCAGTATTCATTAATGGAGACAGTTACAAATTTGTCTGCTTTTATACCCATAAATTGCATGTCAGAGAAACTGAATTTTGGGAAGAGTGTGGGTTGTATGCTTCACGTGCACAAGGGATGCGTTGTGACGAGTGCAAAGGAACTGAAACACCTTTTTAGACTACTAGAGATGTGTTGTAATACAGAGATATCATTCATGTTTAACGATGGTTAACAGTTGCTGTACTATCATGAAATATATCAGGGGGTGTTTAATTAAGTTCCAGGTGTATATGTATAATGTGTGCTACATTTTTGAGTAGGGATCACTTGCTTGATAGCAGTGTTGGTACCTACACCAAATTTCACATTCATTGCATCAAAGAAGCCGACCTTCCACAGAACTTGGTTTTCCCATATGTAATTCATGTTGGTGTCATGTCACAACCAAAAATATTTCAAATCCATCAAACCATCAAAGAGAAGTTTTTCCACCCAATCACTGGTGGTTCACATCCTAAAACCTGGCTAAGCTTTCATTTGTACTTAACTTCCTCGGAATCATATGACTTATTTTATTTGTTAGCTCATTACAATCTATACAAGATTTACATGACAAAAACTACTGTGTTTATATAGATTGATTTTGATGCATGTCAAAATGCACAAAATACCATAAGATCCACTCCCTAAACATCCATTGCTATCTGTAATGAAATCCCAACACAAAATCCAATACTGTATAAGCTAATAACAACAAGAAATGTCACTAACAATAATGTATCAATTCAAAATAACATTACAAAAGTATTCTTACATCATGTGCTTTCTTGTCAAATGTTCCAGCTTCTTTTCCACTTTGCACTTGAAGAGTCTGAACATGCCAGAGTATATCCTCCTGTTTCAAAAGAGAAATCAACTTTTTCATAATGGTCAACTTTTGGTTCACTTCGAGGTGTAACATGTGGCTAACAACACAGGTCAGAAGGAAAGAATACTGACCAAACGATCAGGTGGTCTAATGCATGTCATAGAATCCCAGTTGTGTGTAACAACGCTTATTTAGTGAATGCCATCATGGAGCTGCAATCACCTAAACAATATCTATCATGTATAGAATACTTTCGACTGTGTATGTAATGGAAGAAATCCAACCAAACTTTCTTTAATAAAAAAGCAATTAATATTAAAACTTGCTGTAATGCCAAATATGTAATCATGTTCATTCCTCTGGTATAACCTATGAGCTAAACACAAGGAATGCTAGTAGGAATTGTAAGTGTCACAGAATATAAATATTTAATACCGTGTATCTTTCAGCCTTGTTGATGATAAAGCTGAAGTCAGGTAAAGCAGCGTCTTTTGATGCATCTGAAAGAGAAAGAATATATAAAAGAAAGGTTGAAAAAGGTAGAAAATGTATGGCAGTAAAACAAATATATGCATGAATAGCAATTTCCTATATCTTTGTGTTTGAATTAGACAGTAATAAGGAAGGTGTTTGCATCATCCAGCGAGGTTGAGGTGTCAACATTCAGCCCACCTGTGACCGGGTGTACAAACCTTGCAGTCAACTTTGTGTGCAGACTCTTTCAGTGTTGTCACAACCCTAGTGTACAGTACACAACCCTGTGCACTTAAAAGAACCCTGTTGGTTATGACCAGATGGTGGCCACATGAATACGTGCAAACACCTACAGCAACGTGCAATGTGACTATGTGTCCCAGTCCACCCAACTGTGAATGGGTACCTCGTTAAGTTGAGTAAGCCACAATAACTAGTGGCTGCCGGAGTGTATACTCCCCATGGAGCTGAGATTGATAATGTGATGCGTTGTTGAGATTTCATATCCAATGATCGAGGGAAAAAATACCAGTGCCTTGAGCATACACTAGTTGCATGAATATGTGCGTTATATAAATACCCTATAATAAAAACAATAATAATGTACTTGTTACAAGAACACAACCCCCATTTCTTCATGATTTACAAACATGTGCTTTCTTCCAGTTTAGGGAAATAGCATTTACAAATACATGTCCATAATCATCACAAATATGAGTGTATTGTGTACACATATTACAATATCAGAAGCATGTTATGTCAATACTCACTATCAACAGACAGTATTAAGGCAAGAGTCATCAGAAGATTAACTATTCCCCCGGCCCCCACATATTTGAAAGAACAAATCATCTGACAGGTTCACTTTTTTTACACTAAGAAACCCGGAAAATAAAAATGCCAAAATTCTGTAAATAGCAAAAGGCACCACTTAAGGTTCTGTTTGATGATTTTAAGAAGTTTTCCAGTTGTGCTCCGGAAACGAAACCTACCCCGCCCTTTTGAGACTAAGTCCGAATCGTTTCCATGGAAACCGAGAAAAGTAAAAATGACAAAAATATGCAAATAACAAAAGGCACCACTTTGGCATCTGCCTCACATATCTGCCAAGTTTTGCTGAAAGATCTTAAGAAGTTTTCGCGTTGTGCTCCGGAAACGAAACCCACCCCTCACTTTTGGGACTAAGTCCAAATTGGTTCCATGGAAACCGGGAAAAATAAAAATGCCAAAAATCTGCAAATAGCAAAAGGCACCACTTAAGGTTCTGTTTGATATATCTACCAAGTTTTTTTGAAATATATTGAACGTTTTTTGAGTTATACTCCGGAAATGAAGCCCATCCCTCACTTTTGGGATTAAGTCCGAATCGTTTCCATGGAAACCGGGACAAATAAAAATGCCAAAAATCTGCAAATAGCAAAAGGCACAACTTTAGGACCTGTTTCATATATCTACCAAGTTTTGTTGAAAAATATTATACGGTTTTTGAGTTGTGCTCCGGAAATGAAAGCAATGCCTACTTTTTGAGACTAAAGGCACCACTTAAGGTTCTGTTTGATATATCTACCAAGTTTTGTTGAAAAATATTGAACGTTTTTTTAGTTATACTCCGGAAACGAAGCCCACCCCTCACTTTTGGGACTAAGTCCCAATCGTTTCCATGGAAACCGGGAAAACTAAAAATGCCAAAATTATGTAAACAGCGAAAGGCACCACTTCAAGATCTGTCTCATATATCCTTTAATGAAACCCACCCCTTCTTTTTGAGACTAAGTCCAAAACGTTTCCATGGATACCAAGAAAAATGACAAAGCCAAAATTCCGTAAATAGCAAAAGGCACCACTTAAGGTTCTGTTTGATATATCTACCAAGTTTTGTTGAAATATATTGAAAGTTTTTTGAGTTATACTCCGGAAACGAAGCCCACCCCTCACTTTTGGGATTAAGTCCGAATCGTTTCCATGGAAACCGGGACGAATAAAAATGCCCAAAATCTGCAAACAGCAAAAGGCACAACTTTAGGATCTGTTTCATATATCTACCAAGTTTTGTTGAAAAATATTATACGGTTTTTGAGTTATGCTCCGGAAATGAAGCCCACCCCTCTTTAAGACTAAGTCCAAAACGTTTCCATGGAAAATGAGAAAAATAAAAATGACAATAATCTCTAAATAGTAACAGGCACCACCTTAGGTTATGTTTGACATATCTACCAATTTTGGCTGAAAAATATCGAACGGTCTTTGAGTTATGCTCCGGAAACAAAATGATTATGGACGGACGGACAGACGAGGTGGGATAAAAAATGAAAAAAAATATGTAAATAAAAAAAGGCACTTCCTTGTGTTCTGTTTGTTCTACCAATTTTTGTTGAAAATTATGGAACGGTCTTTTCATATGCACTGGAAACAAAATGATTACGGACGGACAGACGAGGCGACGACTATATCCCTCTGCATTACATGCCGGGGAGATAAAAAAGATGAGCATATCTTGAACTACATGGCATTACCAGTATAGCAGTATGCTTTTCAAACAATACATAGTACAATGTTGTTTCTCAAAAGCAGTATGTTGGGTGATAAAAATATAGGATTTTGGGGGTTTATCTCTATGGTTTAAGTTCAAATCAACACATATATTCATCACGTTTTCCACAGTAATTAATTCACAAAACAGCATTCTTAACAAACAACTACTTTTAATGTAAGAAAAAATGCAATCCCTCCATATTGAAATTTGATATTTCTGTTATCGCAACCATAACATTTATTTTTAGCATCACTACTTTCATATTACAAGCATCCTTTTTGTCATCAATTTTTATGTGTACATCAAAATACAAAACTGCCTCTTTCCTTTGTCTCTTTTATTTCAAGTTAAGTGGAAGGGAAATGCTGTTCAATGGTTTGGAACAAGTTCCAGTCATTTATCGACATCATCCCTGTGATATTTAGCATGGACAGCAGCACATGAAAGGAAGTAACTCCACTAAATCGGATAATTTCATAAACTGAGTATTCTTCCATGGTACAGTCAGTGCCAATTAGTCAGACATAAGATTTACCTAATGCTGTATGACACAGCAGTGATTGATTCAAAGCATCTCTGGTTCTGCTCATAGGAATTACTGAATTTAGAAACGTTGCATTATGATCCTGTGAGTTAGTCTTTACAGAATACTAATTCATGGTTTACATGGAAACGCATATAAAATGAACATTTTTAAAAATAAGACAGGAGGACCAATGTAATTTTTTATGTAAAGTACGTACAGCATGAGAAAGATAGCCCTCAGCGAAGTTGACTTTTCGGTCTGGTCTTGGGAAGCTGGATAGAAACTCATCATGCCTCTGAAGTTGCTCCTCACTGAAAAACATCAGGAATATGTACTTGCTGTTAAACACCCCAACAATAGCCCTGCTATATGATGTCTGCCTGTAAACAGTAAAAGACCAAATGGTGTTTTGATATGAGGAAATTTCACAGAACTGCAACAACTGATCCATTTAGTCTAGTGGTGGAACACCAGAAAGGGGTTCACACATTGTACCCACACAATGGTATATGTCACTATTACAAATACTACATAACAAGTTGTTATTGCTTACACAAGGTGAACAACCATACACCGTTTACCTGTACCATAAATATGCCTATGTAAATCACATACCTTTTTCTGGGGCCATCGGAATGAGAGTCACATAGTGCAGTTCACACAAGTGGCCTATACTCAGTACTGCCATGTTGTCTCTCTGCTCAGTTGGTTCAATGAAGATTGGCTCATTTGCTATTGTTGTGATAACTCTGATGGATACCCTATACAGGTNGCAGCTGTTGCCTGTAGCAATATAATGTGGTCACCAGAAATGGGCTTAACACATTGTTCCCACCGTTTTCAACTTTTCCTTATACAGGTAGTTCCCTGAATGTGGGATAATGCTTCATTATCCTTACAAGTCCCTGAATGAGGGATAATGCTTCTTATCCAAGAAGTTCTTGAACGTACGCCGCTTGCCCTGCAACATATTGACTTATTGTGAGAAGTAGGAGAGTAGTTATTACAGCCTTAACTACAATCAAACGTGCATAGCAAGTGCATAATAATGTTATCACACATCACACAATGTTGTCATTAATAATATTATTTTACCGTCAAGTGTTACTATATATCAGCTTTTAAGTAGGAGCCAGTCACTAGATAATGTTTTGCATGAAGTTCCTTTGATACATTGCGCCCATAAAAGTACTGGTATTTAAATTTATAATAGCCATATGCATACATCACCACCTGAAATTCATCTTCATTAGTGAAACTGTGGTATAACATCAACTGTCATATATAAACTCAGTCAGTTGTTTTAGGTTTATCAAAACCTGGAAGTTTCAATGAGATAGTAATCATCTTTTCTTTTCACAGTACAAACATAAATCCAAGAGAAATAACAAATAGTGAGGCAGTTTGTAAACATGTTAAATGAGTGAGTATTTCACACCGCTTTTAGCAGTATTCCAGCAATATCATGACAGGCTTCACACACTGTACCCATGTGGGAATCAAACCCATGCCTTTTGCATCACACGAGAATAACCACTGATCTACCCCATCACCCGATAAACATGTTATAAACTTCTGTAAGTAGTTTATATCGGTCATTTTGCTAAGTACTAGTGTTGGGAATTGTTTAAAAATCTCATAATTGATGATTGGTTCATTACAACCGATCAATCATCGAACATAATTGGTTATTGTCATTTATGAAATGTTCCTGGTTATTTTTGTTAATGCTAAAATAAGGTAAAAAAAATGTAGTTCTTTGGGGTTGTTTGGTGCAAAATTTCTTATCTTTAAAGGATGACAAGTATGTAAGGAACATAAATTTCTTAGAGTCTTTAAGATAAATTCAATCATGACTTGGAACAAGCTTGTAGTACTTATGAAATGTAACAGACAAAACCAATCTTGTGAAAGATATTGTTAATGAAAAGAAGTGTCCCAGAATTCTTTGTGTTTAATTATGAGAAAACATGATCGATTGCTTGGTCGTATAACCAAGCGACCAATCTTCGATTATTTCAATTAATCGGACCACTACTAACCTGCACATACTGCACAACCTTCTCCCTCAGTTGTATGTGGCTGATGATCTCAATATCATGAATCTGGAGTTGTTGGGCCAGTGCAATAAACATACAGTTACCCTCCCCTTCATTGTTTAAAATTTCAAGATTGTAAAATGAGGCCTCGAGCTCCAGTTGTCTTAACGTTGGTGTCTTGTGTCCTGCATAAACACATTATCATAGTATCAGACATATTCTTCAATGCATGTACAAAAGTAGCATTTACCAACTCACACAATTCACAATTGATGTGAAGAAATGTGAAGAAATGATATTCTTAAGCTGTAAGCTAAACTGACCTCATATGGAACTTTTTTCATACCAATTCATTATTATTCATTTTTATTCAGTTTATGAGTCTCATACCCATCAGCTAATACCTTTCTTGGTTTCATTGCATCCACTGTTGGTTGAGGTTTGTTCCCCCTTTCCTGAAAAGTAGAAACATATACCAGCAAGTGCAAATAAATATTTAGCATAAAGTAATGCCTTGCATTAGTATAATTTAGAATTTGGCACTTTACTCCTTAATTAAGAACCAAAAGTGTTTCAACTAACAATCAGATGATTTGTTCTTTCAAAATGTGTGGGGCCGGGGTATTTGTCTGATGACTTGTTCAAAACAGTAAGTGTTCGAAACATGACATTTTTTTCACTCCCTCATGACATCATGAACTAAGAATTGAAATGGCACTATATAAACCTAGAGGATTTTTCCAAAAGCATATTTGACTGAAATGATATGTATATGTAACCATTTCTGTCTAATCTGTCTGTCCGTATACAAGAGTAGTTACTGAGCTATCAAAACAAAACATGAAATTGGTACAGGTGCCTGACTCTGAGGGTGTGGGTTCATATCTGGGATGGCACTGAACATGTTACATTTGGGATTACACTTTCTCAGTAAAGTACAGAATCTAGTACTTTTGTTGGGTTGAGTCCAATCTGGGAATCAAACACAACACATTGTGTAGTCATAGCTTTCGGCTTGTGGAGCCATGCCAATTTACTCTTACCAGAGGGGTACACAAACTCCACAGTTTAAACTACCAGTTGTCCTACGTCCATTTTTGTGGAAGCTGCGATGGCTGAGCGTTCATGGCGTCTGACTTTGTGTGCTGGCAATTAGGTGCCTGACTCTGGGGTTGTGGGTTCATATATGGGATGGCACTCAAACAACAAAAGTACTACATTTTGTACTTTACTAAGAAAGTGTAATGAAAATATAACATAGGTACACACCAATATCCAAGGCTAAGACAGAAATGCAAATGTTTAAAATCTCTGGAAAAGGCAGCAGTACACAACCTGGTCTTTGTGTGCACACAACTTCTGGAACATCTGATTAGTTTTAGAGAAATGGTCTATACATAGATTGTTCATATGGAAACAGGAAAATCATTTTCTTAAGACTTTAAACAAACATAATCAAAGACACAACTTCAGTCCTTGGTTAATGCTTGTAACAGGCTGTGATGGGGAAGTTTTCGAGCAATGCTCCAGAATTAACATCCACCTCGCTCCTTTTCAAACCATGCCCAAGCCTTTTCCATGAAAATCAATACAAGAAGAATGCCCAAAATTTCAAGTAAAGAAAGTCCCTACTTCTGCATCTATTTGATATATCTGCCAAGTTCAATTGAAACATATGCTGGTTTTATGAATTAGGGTATGCCCTGAAAACTAAATCTACTCTCTTTTTAGTCCAAATTATGTCCATGGAAAATGATAAAAATAACAATGCCGACAATCTGAATATAGCAAAAGGTATCAAGTTCTTTTGGATATATCCCCTATACTTGTTGAAATATTTCAATGATTTGTTTCTGGAAAGCTATGGAAACGACAACATTACAAAGAGACATACTAGACGCTGACGATAGACACATTAGAAGTGTCCTACGTTGTAATACCTTTTTGGTCGTGTGTTCTCCTTCTTTTGGCTGGCCTCCTTTTTTCTTGTGCATCAGGCATTGAGTCTGCTAGAAAGAAAGCAGGTGATTTTTTTTTTACATTTAGCCTACTCTGATATGAATTCAGGCATCAGCAATCTTCATACCTCTCATAAATGTGCTCGCCATTAGTATCTAGACAGCAAATATTTCAGCTACCATCAACCAATCACTCTTCATTTTTCGTGATATCAGTCCAGTGCTACTTTTCCATCTATGCTTTTGCTCAAAGAGGGTACAGTGAACTACGTCCTCATCCATTTATAACTGGTGCATAAAATCCCCAGAGGTGAAATGATAAGAGAATACTGCATTAAAGAGACAATAATAAGTGACACTACATCAATCATTTGAGCCCTTTTCTGAATGATTTCAATGCCTTGTAATGCTATGTATGAGTAATGATACTTTTCAGTGATTAGGTTTCAATGTCACAGCAAAGGCTGAAATCATTATTCCAAAACCACCACTAATTCCTTTCAGTTTGTATGGTGTCTCACCTTCCTTTCAATTGACTCTGCATTAAACAAACAGGATACTAAACGACGTTCCATGTAATACCATTGTTACTAAACGAGTTTGACTTGGTATCAAAACTCACTTCAATTCGTGTCATACTAAATTTTCAGGAGTTTCATGAAAATGGTATTTCACGGAGGCCAGTTCAGTTTTCTGTGTATTATTTTTCAACACAAATTTGATAGAACATTACTGCTTACAGTGTGTGCCTTTTGTCAGTCAAGCAAGATCTAGATCTAATACCATTGTCACAGAGGTATTAGCTTTGTGACATCATAATTGTCAACCATAACAATGCCATATATCTAGCGGTATTACACTAGTGTAATATTGCCATAAAAATATTACACTGTAGTATCTTCAACTGGCAAGTAATAAATTGGATAAGAATAATGATGCCTTACAATAAATTTGGTCAGCAAAACTGCGAAGCAAGTCACCACTGAACATAGCTATTAATTCCTTGGCATCAATTTTCACCATCTAATCCAGAACAATTGTATGAAAGGATAACTGCTGTGCCTGTTTGCGAAATATACTACAAATGCCAAATATAATTGAAAAAATGTCTTCATCATTATTGTTGTATGTACCTTCCAATGTCTTCTTTTTTCTCTTCTTTTCTTCCTGTCTGGTCATTGATGTCAGGTCTGACACTTGAACCCATTTTGTTCCTTCATTTTGAAGAGAAATCTTATATTTGTTCATTTCCGAATCAATTTCTGCAACGGTTCCCTCCAAGCACCTCTTTCTTCCTTTTTTCTGACCTCCTCTTTTGAGTCTGCTGTCCTTTGCTTGAATCCGGACTAAGACTTTCCATCCTATT